AGCAGGATTGCTGTCAGACTTTGGAGAATGGGGTTAGAAGGCAAACATCTGCATAAATGAAAGAAATGACCTGGAGGAATTATAACTGAGGAAGGTTCAACAAACATCAGAAGAGCCTCGGGGTGCCTCTGCAGTTGCCCATGCTCGGACAACTTCTGGATAAACAAAGGGCTTCATTTTCTGATTTGTCTTTAACTGTGGGAGTTAAAGGTAAAGAGTGGTGCAATGTCATTTTCTGCATCTTAGAATGAATCAATTTATTAATGGAAGTAAAAATGAGCTTGCAACAAAATGCAAAATGTACTGAGTTCCCATATTTAGGGGTTGTAACATGGTATTTATAATTATAAATAGCAATAAACTCCAGATAAGTAACTCACTTGGTTGATTGATGACATGACTGCAGAGGGTATCAGGTTTTTAGACAAAGAATTAAATGCTAAAGAGTCTCAGTTCTTAACACAATGTTCACATTAAAGGTAAGCCTAGTAGTGGCATTAACGTTCCTTACCATCCCTAACCAGCTAATCTCTGGAAGAAGCAACGGATGGAAACAGAGCGAAACTTCAGAGTGAAAACATACATGGAATTGAGTTCAGCGCTCAAGGATTGTATGAACATGCCAAACTGATTAATTCTTCCTTTGCAGCAGTGGGAGCAGCAAGGTTTGTTCCATTGACTCCTGGCCAGCTCAGTTCACCACCAGCCAAGGGGAGAGGATAGGCAGAGCCACCTCCTGCCAGCAGCCCCAGCACACCAACGAATTGCAACAGCTGCCACTGGAAAACAAAACGTTTGCACTCATCAAGAACAACAAGAGAATACAAGATCCCAAACAAAGACCCTGAGAAATGTATAGCATCCAAAAGCTGCCATGCAGAAGCACGCGTTATGATGACACCTTCCTTAATTAAAGTCAGGACCTTCCATTTAGCACCGCTACTACAAAGCCAGAAATGTTCCCAGAGTCTTGTGCAGCTCAAAAGGGAGAGGAAGATGTTAGGCATTGCACATTTGTTACCTGATGTTATCTGTGCTCCCAGAGTTTGGGACCAATGCTACAAAAGCTACAATGCTTTGCATAATTCTGCAAAAGACACCAATTCTTTTTACATGTCATAGTTTCATAAAAATCAGGATCTAACAAATACACATTTCAGTGTGTTACTGATATATTACAGTATGAAAAGACTAATTACTGATGGATGGGCACAATGAGAAAGCTGAGATCACAGGAAAGACTAGAACAATAAAGCAATGACAGTGTTACCAATGTCAAATGAACAAGTCACCCTATGAATACATTTTATCAGCCTGAATTACAGAATGACCACTAATAGAAATGCCTTCACTTTGGTTTGACTAATTCATCTTCTGACCAGCCTAAGGTCCCAAGCGGAGTTATAGCCAAGGCAGCTTCTGACCCTGCTGGTGGCCAACATCCGCATCTGCAGAAAGCAAGCACCTGGCTTGCTCCTTCACCCTTCCCAGAGAAAGTCACCCAAAATGACTTCTCCAGCTCATCTTAAAGATGTGGGGATGTACAAATGCCACGCTAAAATCCTGCCTTTTTCTGCGTGTTATAGCAGTTCTGCTTATCACCCACCCATCACTTCCTTCTTCACAAAAGACCTCAAAATCTTTTCAGACCCTCAGGAAATATGATACAATAGTTAAAATTAGTCAGTATTATGAATATCACTACTTTTTAATTTGGGAAATTATACTGGTTAATCAAACAACAGTTTGCTGATCACTTTCAGAAAATCAGTAAACTTTGATACCTGCGCACACAGCACATGCATGTACGTGTTGCTGTGTATCCACATCCTGAGGAAAAGAAAAAAATGGTCAAAAGTCAAGTTTCTAATTTAGATTAAGAGTTGAACTTTTGAAACAAGTATCTATGTCTCAAGCCTAAAACAAACAAACAAGAAAATATTTTTATGGTCTTTTATTTAGAAATCTGAGAAAATAAAAAAATTGTCTGTTTCTGATCCCCACATACCCTTCAGCCTTTAGTTATTTTGCACTGAAATACAGGGCAAAAAAAGCCATATTATTTCATACTTTTATAATTATTTTGCACATTTTTCTATACAAATCTATTTTGACAAGAGATTAGTGGGAAAGGTCATCTCTGTTGTTCCTATTGCGTATAAATCTAAGTCTCTGGTATGAAAAGCTGTATTTATAATCCAAGGAAAAGAACAGGGATTGTCTGATGTGCTACTGAAAGTTAACAGGTCCCAAGTTTAGATTGGGGATAATGTCATTCTTTGATAAACTGCCACTGTTTCTCCAAACTCAGCTGCCTTTGGCATATCAAATCTGTCAGAGATGCTTACAGCAGTGTGTAGGTTATTATAACACATGACATATATTCTCACTGACACATGTCAAATCACATACCTTTCATAATTTTCATATTTGATGACAAATTTAGATTGTTAGGCACCATACATTGTTTTCAGAATCAAGTTCTTTTTCCAGGAGTGATGTAAGGTTAAAGTTGTAAGATGATGCCATGCATCTAAGAAAGCATGGTTTCTTAGTTAAAAACATGAATGGTGAAGTTCAGAAAATATTAATTATCAGTATTTTCAAAGGTGAAAGCTTAAACTTAGACTCTTAATTCAAATTTAAGTGTGTAAAGAGAAGCATTATGCTTTTTCAGTGACTTCTGGCAGTGATTACTTACAGATTTTAGAAGAGTTACCCAGCACACTTGCAAATCAATCAGAATCTACTTAAGAATCCCCCTAAAGCCACAGAAATCTATTTCTGAGTAGCTAGATAGAAGAGTTGTCCTATGCAGCAAAATTAAAAACCAATTCCTTCCCATTTAAATCAACAGATTTCATTACACAGGCAGAAATCCATTAAAAACAGAATTTATCCATCAGAAAAAATATACCCATGAGCTAGAATCTAATATATATATTTATATATAAAGTTCCTAGCCTTTGACATACTAGCAATACTTGGGGCACTATTAAAGACTTATATCTTCCAGAAGGAAAGCTATTGCAGGAAGAGTGTGGCAAAAATAGACCGGGCCAACCTTATTCCCAGGGACCAGAGGACTGAAAAATAAGTCTGTTCTTCCTCCACACATTCACACGTTCATTCGCATTGCTCAGGACTCTACTGGGTATTAAATAGCCTACCTCGATTGCTATGTTTATGCAGAGAAGAGTCTTAAGTACTGTAAAGACATTTGGGCTAAAAAACTGAAAATGAAAAAATGAATAGAGAAAAGCGGAAGTAAGCTGTTAGCAGCTTACTCTATGCACATAAGCATCCATGAAGTATAGCAAAGAAAGCAATGAAGAAGAAAAAAAAAAGAAAACTAATACAAGGTTTTCCTCAACTCTCTTTCTTCCGTCTTGCAATCCTTTGCTCTGAATTGAGGCTGAGGTTGTAACTGCTTTGGGATAACAAATCTTCTCAGTCTCCTTTTTTTAAGTATCTGATTTGTAAAGGCTTAACTGGCATTAAGTATTAATAGAAATAATGTGATTTCCACCTCAGATAAGTTAATCTGGTATTACTCTGAAGCATTTTCTTTCCCTTAGTCTGCTGGACTCCCTAAATGTGAGCTGTGGCTAGAGGAGCTGCTACCCCAACACCGTCTGCAGCAGCTCAGCTCCCAGTGAAAGGCACAAAACTCACGCAGACTGTGCTGGACTCTTTTATTCAGCTTTAACCTTTCACATCTCACTTTACCTTGACATTTTTTAAAGCAAGGTAGAAATTTAGACAAATAAAGCTCCCTGTCTTTTTCAGCTTGATTACAGCTGAACTTCTCAATTTCTGTCTTTAACAAATTGTATGGTGATAATGCCTGGGCTGGTAAATTGATGGTGAAGCTAGCAGCCCTCAGACAGCAGGAGTGGTCACTGAGATAGTGGGTTTACTTCTTAGGGGGCGGCAATGTTTTGAGTCCCCAGCGTTTGACAACATCCAGCTGGCAGTGACGGCAAGACACTCAGAGCACACACCAGGGCATCCTTAATGTCCAGCTGGTGAAGGGGTGAAAAACGAAGTCCCACTTGGTAATGGCATCATCAATCAACTAAGTAACAGGGTCTTTCAATTCATGTATGTCTCATACACTGACAATGGAAAAGAACATGATCTCTGGCTAAAAATATTGCCATAGAGTATTTTAGAAAGTTTTTTTTTAAATCTGTGAAATACCCAGTATATAAATACCATAAAGCATTTTTATAGAATATTGGTGCTGTCTTCCATCAGTTAAATGCTGTGTTTATTGCATACACTAGTGTTTTTTTATTATAAAGCACAAGCCAGGGGATAGCTGCGTGTTGGTGCGTACACCACCAGCCATGTGATCTGTCTCTCCAGTCTGGGATCACCACGTAGACCCAATGTGTTGCCAGCTGCCAGGAAAACTGCCCAATGCCGCTCTAGACACCTGGATCCATGATAGGGATCATATCTGTGCTCCTTGATGTCAGCAAGAACCTGATTTTCCAAGCAATTGCCAAGTGATTGTATTTATTTCTTCTGAATTATCACTAGCAATCTCTATTTTTCATGTGTGGGTGAATAAAAACTATTCATGGGCAGTGGTGTGAACTCTCCAAACAGCGTAACTCAGAACTGATTAATTCAGCAACTGAATCACCATCATTTTTTAAAATTCCTTCCCTAGTCGCTACGATTTATTAAGACATTTCTTTTTGGTAGACCAGCAGCTTTTAAAAATGTAGCTGCTAGCGCCTGCGGCCCACAGGATGCGCACTTAACCACGGAAACTCAAGCACTACCAAAATCCCGCACCCGGCGGCCGCACCACCATCTCCTCTCCCTGATGCGGACGGGCTGCCTACTCCCGCCCTTTGGGGGCGTGGTCTTGAGCACCTGTGGACCAATCAAGTACTGCGGCAGCCACCCGCCTGGTGCAGCCCCTCAGGCGGTGGAGGGTGGGGTTGTCATTCATGTGACGTCACGAATCCGTAGCCGGCGGCGGCATGAGCGGGCAGGCAGAGGTATGGCTGCAGTCGCCCTCGTTTCTGATGCCCTGGGGGGAGCTGAAATCGGCTGCCCCTTCCTCCGCGGAGGAGGGGCGGCGGTGCTTCAGGGCTGCTCTTCTCGGCTGCAGTTCGTGAGGCCTCCGAGCCCGGGGAAAATCCAGCGGCCTGGCAGGCCTGGGCGCCTTGCGGGGCCACCGGTACTCGGGGCGGCCCCGGGCTGCTCTGGGGTGATCGCAGGGTGCTCGGTCCGATCCGGCGACTGAAGGGCAGAGCCTGTGGGATCCTTGGGGCTGCAGCCTGTGGCAATCGCCGTTCTCCTCCAAGGGACCCCTAGAGCCAGGAGTGCGAGTGCTGCCTCTGCCTTCCTAGGGTGAGGAGTGTGGAGGTGGCTGTTTGCCTGCTGAGCCCTGCCTAGCCTAGTGGCTTCCCTGTGCAAGAGCCTGGTAGCCAGGAAGCAGCGGCTCTGGCTATTTAGGCTTCTGCCCACTTTTGGATGTACGTATCTCATACACGCGTGGCTCTGGCTGCTATCCTCCATCTGCCATCCTCCAGCCATTTCAGCTGGGCAGAGACTGTAAAGGCAGCAGCTATGTAGTCGAACTTGTACATCAATGCTACAGCTACAGGATTAAATAGCTGCTGCCAGTGGAGTTTTCGTAATCCTATGTAGTCCATATAGCTCTACACACCCAAAGTAATTTGGTTGTAATAAATGTTTAAAGGCATCCTTAAATTCTTCTATTTAATAAAGGCTGTGAGAAAATGGGAGATAAAAATACTTTTTCCACTAAGGCAACTTATTCTATAGAAGAGTTCATACTTCCTATTTATTTTTAAGTCTTATAGGAGAGTTAGTTGTTCTTACTGTGGAAGACTTAATATTCAAATAAACTATGGCAGTCAGCTGAATAGCTCAAATAGGTGTAGATACAGATAGAGAAGGTAAGAAGCATTTCAGTTTACGCCTTTAAGCTAGGGATGCTTCATTTTCTAATGGAGAAAATAAGGTGTGGTGTGACAAGGTGACTTGCTCGCTGTTGTGTGGAAAATGTTTGAGCCAGAGGTAGTTACTCATTTAATACTCTTAAAGAGAAGGAACAAAAATAAACTCGCAGTTTTGGTTTCTTTCTTAGTTGTCCGATTTTTCTTCATCATAATATGCAAACTGCGAATGTGCTTTTTTTTTAAATTATGTTGGGTGTTTTGTTTCATTTTTAGGTTAAAGTGAAAATACCTTTCGGAAACAAACATCTCGATGCTGTCTTTTCAGTCCCAGAGAAGAAATCAACATACGGAGTGATTCTCACCCATGGAGCTGGAGGAGATATGAATTTCCCTCACTTGGTGTCTCTGGCAGCCTATCTCGCATCCCATGGAGTTCTGTGCCTGCGGTTTACTTGTAAAGGCCTTAACATTTCTTATAGGTCTAAGGCCTTCAAAACAGTTGTGGTAAGCAGTGTCCAAATTCTCCCAAAGCTTAGATCCATGGGTATCATCGCCTGAGTTTCTTAAATTATGACCAGAGATTAATCAAGAAACAGTGGGAAAATTAGAAGTAATGGTCAGCCAAATGAAGCACTGTCTGTGAGCAGAAACAGCAATTTTTATATGGGCAGTGGCTGGAACAGCTGCAGTGAGTGTGTGGGTTTGACTTCAGGGAGAGAAAGAGAAGCTTGAGAAAAGGACGTGAAGAAAGCAAGGGTGTTTTGTGGGAAAACTTATAGCTTGAAATAAATGAAAGTATTTAGGATGGCAACAAGAGGTAGGTGTTCTGGGAGGGCTTGGTGAGGGGAGGAGGATTAAAGGATACAGCTTTGGAAGCGGTTTTGATGGGAAAGAGGCTGACCAGGTAGTTGTGCTGGGTCGACTTTGAGAACAACTTTGGGGAAAGAGTAGGAGACTCTGGGTCACAGGAGGAGTTGAAGCAAAAGAGATTTAGAGTAGCATATGAGAGCCCTAGAACCTAAATAATCTTTGATTTCAAAATCAGTTTAAACTGTTATATGCTTGTGTTTATCTCCTGCTGCTGCTGTGTTATTTAAGATGTTCTTATGTACCTAGGTTTTGTTAAAATGAGCAACCTTTTGTTATAATGATAACAGCATTGAGTATCTTCCTGTTCTGGAGTGTGTAGGAAGGAGTGAAAATTTTATTCTGATCTTCTAGCTACTTTTACTGGGGCATGGGAAGGTAGCTTGAGCACTTTGTGTTGAGCATTAGACATTTTTATAGGGGACCTAAGTCCAGTTCTTAAGGAATTAATTTGTATGATGAGATTATGATTTGAAGTTAGACTTTGATTTGAAGTTAAGCTTTGCTAGCTTTAATGTGGATCTGTTCTCCTTTTTTGAAGCAGCATAATGTTATCAGTGATTTTATATTAATATGCTGCTGTGTAAAAGTAATTTCAAGGCCTCTGCTAAGATAGCATTTGATTAGTTATCTCCTCAAAACTGGAAAAGTTATTGCTGAATTTTACCTTTTCTGACAGACATAACTGGTTGTATCTTGAATTTTTGGTTGGAACTACATGACCTCAGTGAAGGGGCATTTTTGCAAACTTATTTTGCTTTTTGATGGACTAAGAGTGCATGCAGTCTGTTAAATACTATAACTAAGTTGATACACAGTAATAATTTGTTTAGGTAAGTTAATGGGGCATCTGATATTTTAGACTTGCAGAGAGTTAATGTGAAATTGCTTATGTTTATTATGTTGTTGCTGCAAAATGTTATGAAATCATTTGTGTGGAAAAAAAATCAAAACAAGAGCAACTTGTATGTGTCTGGTTTTTGTTTAATCTGCAGTGCTGAAAGAGCTTCCCATTTTGTGTTCAGTAGCTACAAGCAAAAAAAAAAAAATCCCCAGCTTCCCATCTGTCTTAATTCTGACTTACAATGTTTCTCTTTATCTTATTTCTTTAGGAATACTTAAAGCTTTCCGATGCTTATAAACTTTCGGGTGTTGTCCTTGCAGGTATTATTTTTATTATGTATCATTTTCTCTCTTATACTGCCTCTAATGATCGCAGTCTGTAATTACTCCAGTTTTTAAGTCTATCCCAGTTTGGTAAGAAGTGAATGAACAGATGTGAGTGACAGGTTGGAGTTTGCAGTGGGCACTAAAAACTTGCAGTCTAACCTGGGACCAAGCTGAACACGCTCCCACTGGTCAGTGTTGCCTAGGGAGAGCAATTCAGCTCTCTGTTGGGAGGACCTTCTTTACAAAGAGCTGAAGGCTCTGTAATCTTCATTAATTGATTAATTAGCAGTCCCCGACTGCCATGGGAACATAAGTACCAAGCCCACCTGCAGATCTGCGTTTGGGTTTCCGAATGCCACCAGCCCTGTAGCTGCTGGCTGCATGGGGCAGATGTGCAGCTCAGCTCTTGCAAGTTTGAGTTGCAAGTGGGAACATCCAGGCTGCAGCTTTCACAGCATTCTCCTGGGAGCGTGGCTGTCTGGACCTAGTCACCCTCCTCACGATACCACCGATCTCCCTTCAGGAGGGAGAAGGGAAGAGCAATAGGCCATGTTTTCCAGGTGCTTTGGGAGAAAAGTTCTTTGTTGCTTGTGACAGGGCAAGATTTCTTTTATAATCCATGTATACTTTTTAACTGCAGGTCTTGAAAAATTCCATTTACTGGTAAATGGAAAACCACTTTCCCAAAACAGGTTTTGGTAGATAAAACCTAGTGGTAGATTTTTAAAAATTCAGCTTTATTATGTGAAAAGGGAAGTAAATGGCTGTGATTAGGAATAACTTGATACGGGAAACTCTGAATGTACTCTGACTAAGCGAAACAAAATCTGTGCTGATGCAAGTTAATCCCATTGGAATCAGCCACTTCTAATACTCAATTACAGAGCATTGTCAGCTCATATGCCACTTCTTTGAGGAGGTACTTTGATATCCCCTTGCTGTTACTGACTGACCTTGTGCTACAACTTCACACTTTGTTGTATGTCCAGTCTGTCCCCCAGTTCTAATTTTAGGCTGAAGTTTGAGGTGTGCATAAGCACTTGCTGAATTTGTTTTGGGAGTAAGGCACATAAAACTTTGTTTTGAATTTGAGCAGATGAAGGTTGCATGAAAAAAATTCTACAAGATAATAATAATAGCATTGCTGTCTGGAATTCCAAGGGTCTGGAGCATTGGACCTACCCACCTCTTCCCTCTGTCCCCAGGATGAGCTGGTGCTCCAGTTTTGCAAAGGATCCCTCTCCATTTAACTTGTTTTCTCTCCCCCCCCCCCCCCATGTGAAATCAAAATATAACCAAATATTTTAGCAGAAAATGTTGAAATTAGGATTAATATCTTTCATGGAGTAAATGAATAAAAGCCATCTGTAGCATTTTGTACTGCTGGTCCACTGAAATACACTTGGTTGGATTGGTTTTAGTTGTTTACGTGAACAGAATGAAGATGAGGTGACAGCAGATGTGCTTTTTTCCTTTATTTTAACATGGGAGAAAGGCCGTTCCATGGGCTCACGAGCTGCTGCCTCTGTGATACGTCAGCTTAGCCAGGATGGTGTTGATGAAGACTTCATTCAAGGTCTGGTATGTTTATCTTACCCATTGCATCGACCAAAACTTCAGTCCAAGCTCCGGGATGAAGATTTATTATTTATCAGGTGTCCAGTGCTGTTTGTCTCAGGATCAGCAGATGAGATGTGTGAAAAAGTGAGTACCCTTGTAAATCTTGCTGTGACGGGAGGGGGAATATGGAGGAATAGGAATGAGGCTGAGTGACACCCATACTGGTATACACAGCTGTGACTGATTAACAGCCTTCTCTAAATACTTATGTTTCTTCCAAAGGCAGCCTTGGGTATGACACTTAATCAGATATAAGGAAGCCTAGTGGTGATTGCTTTTGCTGCTTAAAACTTCTGGATCATGCTTGATCATCCACTTCAGCAAGCTCATCTTTGGGCCACTAGAATAGTGCTGATATAAATAATGTTTTGTCTCTTTTGATAGGACTGTACAAACTAGAAGCGGCCTATGAAAGGAGCAAGTTATTTGCTATTCTGTTTTAACCATTTCAGGTTATCAAACATAAACACTGTGCTGTGCTACCAGTGTCATATTCATCACATTTTCACGACAAATTCTTTTAGCAAAGCAGTTTTGCCCACAAGTCAGACTTCTGCAGCAGAAAGCTGTAGAGATGAAGAACAGGTGTGCAGAGATGAGAATACAGTGATTTTCTGCCTTGTATGCTGGCAAATAGGTCTCTGTTGTTCTTGAACAGTTCATATTGAATTTGGGAGTACACGCAATGGACATTTTCCATGCTTGGGCAATTTCTAAGGAGTCACAATGCTTTCGTGAGGAGTTGTCACCAAAATAAGTCAGGCTAGCAAGCAGCAGGCCCTTGGGAGTGCCTTCTGAATGGGGAAATCGTTAAGACTTTCTGAGCTGGTTCTTAGAGCTGTTTGCCAAGGAAGTTGAATAGTCAAACCCAGGCTCTAGGAAATTATAGAGCCACTCTGATGAAGTTCTGTCATTTTATTGCTAGCACTACCCACGAGCAGTAAAAGTTAATTCCTTGAGCAGTGTGAGGAAGGAGCCTGTGGCAGGGTTGTGACCTTTGTAGTTTTTGAAGTTCTCATTTTCTGCTGTTCCGTGTTGGGGTCTGTTCTGTACTCAGTTTCCTTTGAGCAAATTCCATTCCTGAATACAGTATAATCACATCCTTTCTATCAAGGTATTTTTAATGCGCACACGGATCCGTTTTGTTTTTAAAAGCTGCCTCTCGTGTGTTGCACAGGCAAAGCAAGTGACATGAGCGAGAGACATCTAGGAGTTGCACAGATTGTAGCAGCTGATTCTCTTAACTTTTTCATTCTTTTCTCCATAGCAATTGCTAGAAAGTGTGGCAAGCAAAATGAAAGCCCCTAAAAAAATCCACTGGATTGATAAAGCGAACCATGGGATAGCAGTCAAAGGACGAACAACAGACGATGTAATGGAAGAAATAAATGCCCAAGTTTTTTCTTGGCTTAGAGAGAATATTGAACTGGAGCACAAATGATTTGCCATATTGAAGCAGTATCTTCATGTAGCTGTTCCTAAATGCAGCAAGTTAGTTTATTTTCCAAGAGACTTTTTTCTTAAAAAAAGATCTTTTCAGAGATCGAAGTGTAAGTGCAAATAAAACTTCTTTGTGTGAATGCAAAAAAAATATGCAAAACAATAAAGTACTTTTTAAAGGAAGAACAGAAGATTTACTCAATATTTAATATCATGGCAGCATTGTTTTCTGTATTTCTGTGCACATAACTGTATACAACACTTGGTGCTCTGCATTAACAAGTAAATGCTTTTGACTAATACTTGCAGCAATATACTGGAAAAAATCATTTTGACAGCACATCTTCAGCTGTGTTTCATTTCTGAGTATATTACCGATGCTCTATTTGTTTGAAATTAAAACCTGCTGGTTTGTAGAATTCAGCAAGCGCGTTCCCGAGGCTGGCCAGCACAGGTTGTACTGCTCTGCCTTGGTGCTGTACCCGGGCACTCCAGTGTGCTTCAAAACCTGTGACGCAGGGAGAGGAATCTCCCGTTTTTTCCAGTGTCACTACCGCAAGAAGTCAGATCCTTGGCCTGTGTGGGGAGGAGGGGACCGGGCACGTGGTAATGGAAGCACGGTTGTGCATCAGGAGCACAGCACATGGGACACCCTCCAGCAGCTTCCTTGTGTAAAGGACTGGTCACAGAGGCCCTTTAGAGAGATGAGCATGGAAGACTATTAAACAAAACCTGATAAAAGACAAATTATGTTTATACTGGAGGAGGAAGCAGTTCTGCCTCCGGTATGACATGTTGCATAGAGCTCTGAAGAGGTAGGTGGGTGTCTAGGCCTCATTACCCATTAGGAGGAACTTGGGCCTCCAGCCAAGCTCTGATGTTGAGGAGTGGAGAAAATAGTTTGTGTGTGCCTGCAGCTGCAGACTTCCTCATTATGGGCTGTGAGTAACCTATTGGTATAACCGAAGGGTCTAACAAGGTATTAGTTGCTTTTAGCCAAATCATTGACAAGTATCAGCTGAATGGTGACCCCTGAGATGAAACAGCTGACTGGTCCTGATAAAGGTGTCTTGGTTTTATCTCCTGAGATGGTGACTTCACCTCCATGGCCAAGAGTTCCCTAACAGGTGCTGTACTGTATAAAAGATCTAGTCAAGACTCCAGGCTAGTACAGTTAAATTCTAACATATACAGTTTACCACATGGTCAAGCAAAGTATTCCTTAGGCTTGCTTTTACTGTAGTAAAATAGGCAGGTGAAAGTTAAAAAGCAGATATCAGTTATTTCTCACAAGATCCCTCAAGAATGCTGATCTCCCAGCAGCAGTGCTCTTCAATAAGCATAGCACACGTCTAAATGTTTGCAAATCAAATAACCACGTGGTTTTTAAATTGACTGGCTGTGTTACAGAGAACATAAATCCTCACCTTGGACTGGAAACATACGCACTAACTTAGGAATTTGATGAATTTAGACTTGACTTTAAATCCACCTATGGACCATTTTCACATGATGTTGTTATGCTCAGAAAGTAACAGTTGAATTAATCAGTGTCAGTGGAAAGCAGGTATTTTAAAAATAGACTAGACTGGTGAAGGAACGATTGGTTTAGTTTCAGTAATCACTGCTCAATGCTACTTATTTCTTTTCATATTGCCAAAGAGACTGAGTTTCACAGACAAGGCATCTGTGAAAAATCATGTGGAACTTACAACTTTTATCTAAAATTCCTGAAGTGTCAAATAGCACTGTGTTTTTCCTTCAGGTTAAAAAGATGTATTATAAACCCCACATCATTGTATTTAAGAATACCAATTCTCTCAGAAGGAACAAAGTTATGGTCTGAAAAAGACAACTTTGGATAGATCCCTGGGATGGGGGGTAGATTTGCAATTCTTACGTGCCCTTTTTTTACAAAACACACTTCTGAATAGACTCTGTATAACAAGCATGAGTAAAAAGTACTTGCATTTCCAAGGTACCTCAGGACAGTAACACGACTGATACAAACATGTTTTTTATTTAAAAAAAAATTATAAAAACGTTTTTGAACAAGGCTCTGCAACCATTGCATGATATAAAGGAAACAGGGGGTACTTGGTTTTCTTCCATATGTGTGATCATGATACAGTAAACTTCATAATATTCATTGACATTATCCACTGGCATTTTAATCCAAATTTTTCTTCTTTCCTTAAAAATACAGTCTGAATGTAGGTAAATATTAAAAGAAATGTTTTACGTATTTCTGTCAGAGTTCGTCTTTGGCCTGTAGTCAAGAAAGAAGAAACATTTTTCAGTTCATTGGAAACTCCATTTTTAACTGTCTAGTCCTGCAACTACATGAAGAAGTGTTTCTAAGTTTGATAGGCGTTAACGGTCTGGTAACTGATAGCATGGGGCATTGAGCAATGCCTGTTCCAATTTGGTTGAGCAAGAACTGAAGACATCCAGCACTTTACATTTAACGCTGTAGGTACTGTACCTTTTTTCTGTGGCAAGTACATGGAAAAAGGTCATCATCGGGCTGCTGCACTTTCTCCATCCCCTCTCTGACTTTTGGCTCACTCACTTGCAAGCTGGCATATTCCTGGTTTTAAAAAAAGGAAGGTATCATCAATTCATGAACTTGTTAGATGGTACATTTGGTTGTAAATACTGCACCAGCTCAGCTGAGCAATTCTGTAAAAACCCTGGGGCTACACAGTCTGTTACTCCATGCTGTGTGGCAGACAGGGTAAGCAGATACTTAACTGCAGACAGGAGCCCCTTCGGGTGCCTCGCTGGAGTTCCGATATCTCGGCGCTAATGCACAGATATTTTCAGCTGTGGTTCACAGGGTGTGTGTCTGATGGGGAATTCTGTGATCATTGTGCGCAACATATTCTTGCAGATTAGATCAAGATTTATGAGATCCGATTGCTTCTCTCAAACCACCAAGCGTTTATTTTTGTAGGAAATAACTGCATGCAACACTTGTAAATCAACTGAAGTTCTTAAATGCTGCTGCTTGCTTTGTGGCTTCAAGTACTGCACTGGCCAGTTTCCAGCAGCTCTGTTACCCTGAATTCTTTCTGTGGGATTTCTATTTTTGTGGTAGTGGTCATTAAAAATATACTAACCTGGAAAAGTTTGAAATAGTAACAAAAAATGTGATCTCCCATGAGATTGTTTCTTGCAAATTCTTGTCCAGATTTTGCAATATTTTTTGCCTGTCAAAGAAAAGTAAAGTTTTTTTAAATTCTCAAAAAACAGTAGTTATTCCAGTATTGATTCTGGAGTTAAGTAGTGTTGATGGTTTAGGATAACTTATTTTTATTTAAGCATTCTTCATTTTAAAAGTAAGGAATTCTTATGAAAATACTTGTAATTTTTCCAAAGTTCAATTTAATGTCAAATTAAGGGCAGTATTATGTATTTTTTTAAAGTGTTCCTCTCATCTGTAGAGTTGGTGACAATAATTTTTAAGTCCTTCTAATAGATTTTTTTTTTTTTAAAGAAATGCACTCTTTGCTTGCTTTATTTTGCATAGAGACATTGCTGAGTACTTCTAAATGTGTATTTACCTCTTCATCATGCTCTTTTGCCCACTGTAGTTTTTCTAGTAGATCACTCAGGTCACTTTTAAATGGAATATAATGTTTCCATGGCCGCAGCTCGTTATAAAAATGCTCATAGTAGATGGAGTCTTGCTTTAGCACCACACTGTTTCCTGCTAGTAGATAAGGCAATCTGTATGCTGCCACTGTGCCATCGATATTAATTTGATATTTATACTGGAAAGAAAATGACCGTAAGTTATCAACAAACAGAAGATTCAAGTAGCTTGGTTAGGTTATATTATTCTGAGGGCGCTGGTATTGCTGACTTGCCGATACTGAGCAATGTAGGATTGGCTAGGCAAGCATCAATGTTTAAGTAGCTTTTATTATTTAGTTTGGAATTCATCACAGTGCAGGGTACACAGAGATGCCCTCTTCCTCAATTAAGTTCTCCGGACATTCTTAGACGCTCGTCCTCGGATGTGAGGGTAGGTGTGCCACTTCATCCACTGATTTTCCCACTATGTTAGTTATGTTAGTAGTCCTGATCGCTGAATCAGGAAAAAGAAATAAAAAGGAACTTGGAGTTACATAGGTTACACAAGGTTCTACAGAACCTTTAGATGTAAATCAAACATTTTTGTTGTCAGCATAAGAGCTACATAGCAGTTAATCTCACTGGAGGGATGCCTAGTCATGCTTGTTACTGGTGGTGTGCTGAAAAACTAAAAATCACTTTATTATCAGTAATACATAGAAAATTATTTGATAATGGGAAACACCAAGAACCAAGTTCTATGAAAAATGGTTAGTGGCTTACCTTAAAAAAATCAAAAAAAGAAATGTGCTTAACAATGGGGCCGTAGAGGCTTTCATCATGTTTAAAAAAAAAGAAGTTTGTGAAAGCAGCATCTATGATCTCCGGGTATTTTCTACTCAGTTTTACAAGTTCAAGCCTCTCTTTGCGGCTGTCACGTCCCCTCCAGAATGCTGTGGTATTCTTGTCTTCCCATGATGGGCCAGTATTTGCTTGAACTGACATCATATCCAGACTGACTCTGCAGGAGAAAGGAGTGATTTAACAGTGAAGCCTACTGGAAAGTTTGAAGTAATTGCACTTAAAAAAGATGACAGAACCAAAAGGCAAATACCAAGGATGAAGGTAAGTCATGAGCACACCTGTATATGTATTGTATCAGTATTTTTTTTTACAATGATAAAAATAGATAAGGAATGTCAAGTTCACAGGCCTGTGGCAAAACAGCATCATTTCAATGACAACATGGTGTGTGGAAAAAGTACTTGTCTGTTGTCATGGGAAAAAGTGGCTAAAAGTGGATATTGTTGCCAGACTGACAAAGGTAATATAGGGTAATGCAACAGCTGATGGTGATGAGGCAGTCATGATAGTCCAAAGCAAGGATTTTATGTAACTAGCTTAATACAACATATTTCACTTCCTTTATTCAACTAAAACACATAAATTTTGGGGGTGGGGAGGGGGAAATTTAGGGAAAATCTTGATAATAAAGACAAGGAACCTGAACTGAGTGCAGTGGAACTATAAACAAGTCCAAAGTGAGTAACAAAGAATTCTCAGAAGCTGGCTTTGTAGTGTTTCAAGACAGTGACAGAGGAGTT